AAGGATCATTCCAACAAGTGGGGTAGTTAGGTCATGCACATTTTTTTCCTTTTTATTGTGAATTGAGTGAAGGCTGACAGAGAGGATCATGTTTTATATTCAACACATCGAATGGTTGTTGAATGGTCTTGATCACACCCCCTCATTGTAACATCACTTTCCCACTTCCTGTGTTTCTAGTTTCCATTCCTCCTTTCTCAATCCTTCTAAATCTTGTCCTTAGGCAAATGCTGCCTTTTTTAAAACCTCAAATGGTTGACCCTCCTATACGCCTGCCTATCTACTGCTTGACTGAAAATCAGGCCACGGGGCTGAATTCAGTTCTAGACCGTAAGAGTGACCACGGATGGGCCGTGGTCTTGGGGTTCCACCAGTCTTATCTGACCAGTAACCCTGGTCTTTTTTTAATTTATTTTAATTTTGAGTTTTGTTGCACATTGTCTCCCACTCTGTCTAAGACCTCCTAATGCGATCCCTTTCAGAACAGTTGGTAGTGATAGCCAGGCACCATCTGGTTCTTCTGGCCTCAGCGTCATGGAGACTGATGTTCCCAGGGTCTGATACTCCAATGATTTTCAAGTATCTTTAGTTTCGTCACTGGTCTTTTCTCCATACAGGGAGAGACCAATAGCTGCACCATAGATGGGCACACATGAGCTTTTAAGATCTCAGTTGCTACTCATCAAAATAGGATGTAGAGCATTGTCTTTGTGGACTGTTATATCCCAAAACTATGGTCCTAAACTCTGGTATATAGTGGTTACGAACTGGACTGCGAACCTCAAGGTCAACAGTTCGAAACTACCAGCTGTTCCGTGGAAGAAAGGTGAGGCTTTCTGCTCCCATAAAGATTTACAGCCTTGGAAACCCTATACAGGGTTGCTAGGAGTCGGAACCGATTCCACGGCACATAACCACCAACCACCACAAAACTCTCAGGCCAGCAAACCATTCCCTCAAGGTACTTGGTAATATCTAAGTGTTTGGCACTGCAGTTAATTTGCTGGACTGCAAAGTCGGTTTGAACCACAAGATCAGCAGGTCAAGTTCCACAGCTTCTCCTTGGAAACCCAATACAGGGTTGCTATGGGTCAGAACTGACTTGACGGCACTTAACAAACAACAACAAGTTCCCCAAATTTTATTCCCAGTATACTCCACCACATTCATAGATATTATCAGAGAAGATAAACACCCATGTACAAATATCCTGAGTCAAATCTTTATATATGTGAGTATTCTCCCATACCCGTTCAGCCTGTGAGTCTAGCCATGTACCTTCCTGCATTTCACTGCTATTGCAGGACTGTGTACATATAGTCACCTCTCTTCCCTTTAGCTTTTGCACTCCACCCGGTATCTTCCCCACCTCCATCATTTACCAACCTCCCACTTATTGTATATTCCCTTCCCCATCATCCAAGTTAGCATGTGTCTACCTTCTAGTCAGTGAATTACTTCCCTTCCCCCCACCCCGTGGGTAACCATCAGAGAATGCTTCTTTTAGCGTGAAAACCTTTTCTTGACTTTATTTTACAAGAGTGTTCTCATATATTTGTCCTTTTTGTAATTGACTAATTTCACTCAGCATAATGTCCTCCAGGGTCATCCATGTTATGAGGTCTTTTGCAGATTCTTTGAGGCTGGGTAATAGTCCATTGTGTGCATGTACTAAAGTTTATTTATCCATTTTCCATTGATGGGTATTTATGCTGTCTCCATTTTTGCAGGGCAGCGATGAGCGTGTGCATGCATACATCTGAGTCACAAGTCTTACTTCTCTAGAATATATACCAAGTGGAGGGATTGCAGGGTCATTAGATATTTCTATTTCCAACTTGTTGAGGAAGCGCCATACCTATTTCCACAGTAGTTGCATACTTCCATAGTCACACTAGAAGTGAAGGGGGGTTCTCTCCACACCCTCGCCAGCATTTGTTGTTTTCTGTGTTTTTAAACATATATAGAGATCTGCTATCAATGCTGGGTGAGATCATATCTCATTGTTTTTAATTGCATCTCGGAGTCCTGGTGTGGCTCTGTGGGTTACTGCGCCAGACCGCAAAGTTGTTTGAACTGCAAGGTCGGCAGTTCAAGCTCATCAGCTGCTCCTTGGAAACCCTATACAGGGTCGCTATGAGTCACAACTGACTCGATGGCACTTATCAACAACAACGACTAATGGCCAATATCTTGGTTTAGCTGGTTAAAGCACTTGTCTAGTAAACAGAAGATTATGAGTTCAAATCCCAGAGGTGCCTGGGTCAGTCAAAAGTAGCAATTATGGAGTCCGGATGTGGCGCTGTAGCACTGGATTGCAAGGTATGAAGTTCAAACTTATCAGCTGCTCCTGGAAACCCAATACAGGGTGGCTCTTAGTCAGAACCGACTTGACGGCACTTCATAACAACTATGGCTAACGATCATGGTGACTCCCTCTGTGCAGAACTCCAGTCCAGAGGGTTTTCAAGACTGAACGCTGGAAGCAGATCACCAGGTCTTTTTCTGAAGCGCCTCCAAGTGGGTTCAAATCACCAACCTTTCAGTTAGTAGCCAGGAGCTTAACTATTGGTACCACCTGTGTATTTACCCAGTTACAATTTAAAATAGTATCAACTCAGTCACCCATCTGACCAGCCATCAATTCCCTCTTTTTATTCAATTACCAATGCATGCATCCACCCATGCACCCTTCTCACTTTTCCTGACCCACTTCTTTGTGACAAGCACTAGAAGCCAGGCTCTGTGGGGGGGCACAGTGCCAGCCTTCCAGGAGTCCCTCTGGCATACTCCACCCTTTGGTGGGATTGCTCTGGATTCAGGAATCCCCTATGTTGGGCTGCAGGTTGGTTAAGGTGATGGCAGCCTCCTGGGCTCTTCTTCCCCCACATACTCTGGGTACTGTGGCAGATTCAAGCATGCGCAGCCAGGAAAGTGAGTAGTTGTGACTTGGGCCATGTGCCTTCGAGGATAATGCCCCTTGAGCTGGTATGTTGTTGTTCGCTGGAGTCAGTCCCGACTCATAGCGACCCTATACAGGGTTTCCAAGGCTGTAAATCTTTACTGGAGCAGAATGCCTCATCTTTCTCCCGCGGAACAGCTGGTAGTTTCGAACTGCCGACCTTGAGGTTCACAGCCCGATTCATAACCACCAGGTTAATACTACTCTTAGCTGTATTTGGACTGTGGATAGAAAAGCTGACCCAATCCACTCATCACCCACACCACCTGTGTTGGAGGAGAGCCAAAACTCTGTTTCACAGAAGGAAGGTTCTTCTGAGAGGGACCTGACCTCTTGCAGGTTTTCAATGCGGGGTCCTCAGAGACAAGGCACTGGGCAGGAAACATTCTTCAGGGGATAGACAAAGTTGTGCCATTCAAGGGCTTGTCCCACCACTTCCTAGCCTCTGCAGACCTCCCATACTAGGGTGGGTACAGCCCCCTTAGGTCTTAAGAGCATCCCTTTCTCAGAGCCTGATTAAGGGGCATTACAGGAGTCTGGAGGTGTGTAATCCCACATCTATGGTGACCTCAGGGGTGGGCACCCACTCCACTGACAGCCATTTGTGCCCAGCTCCAAGCCTGGCCCGAGGTGGGAACTAGAAGGGTGGTATTCTATGTGTTCCCCTTTCTGATTCTCCCCTCAGGAGTCCTGTGTCCACCAGGAACCCCTACCAGGACAGCCACCCTCTTGGCATGTTTAGGCTAGTTGTGCCCAGCCCTGCCACCTGCCTGGGCCCTGATGCCCCAAGGATGCACCCTGTTGGGAGAATGCAGGAGAAAGCCCTTATTTCAGCAACCTAGGGCAGTTCTACCGATTACAGCATTAATGCCGGAGGGCTGGCTATAGGGAGCAGTGCAAAGCCACGGGAGAGCCCAGCTCAATCTGAGCTCAAACTTGGCTCAGTTCAGGACTCAGGCTCCCGAGCAGGCATGAAGGCAACCTGGCTCAGGGGTTCTCTCTCACTCTGTGTGACCTGTGTCAGGGTCCCAGTTCCCAGCACCAAGGGGTTAATGCCCAGCAAATTTCCCACAGGGCTGCAATGGGGCATGCGCCTTTCCTCTTCAGGGTTAACCCCCACAGGGGTCATTAGGAAAAAGGCAGGGTCAGCCACCTCTCTCCTCCCTCCAGGAGGAGCAAAATCTCCAGAGGCTACATCCTGCAAAAGTCTCACCTTTGTCCTCTCCCCAGCCCCACCTCCTGCACCAGGTTCTTCCCATCTCTGTCCCCCTACCCTTTCCTTACTCCTTGCCACTTCTCACCAACTCATGAGAATTGGGCAGTCCAGAGCCCCAGGTCTCCCAGGGAAGGCAGTGGGAGGAGGGGGATGCCCACAGAGAGTTTATGCCCACCCCATTTCCAAGCTTTTTTAAGCATTCAAGGTAGCAGAGGTCAAAACTTATGCAAAGACCCTCTCCTGGAGACAGGCCCTTAACAGGGCAGTCTTCCAGGCACATTGTCTAAGCACCCTTAGAGGGCTCATCAATGGTGGGATTTGGGGTGCAGTGACCTCCTCCCCACTTACACATTTCCTGGCTCATCACCCAACACAGACAGAGGCAGACTCTCAGTAGTAATCAGCTGGTATTTAGTGGGCAGGTATGTTGTATGCATGCGTCTAAGCAGGTACAATGGGGCCTTCTCCACCCAAATCAAACTGGGAGGTGGCTCAGATCTTACTCAGGCCAGTGTCCCACAGGTGCACAGTGTCCTCTAGAACACCACAGGGCTGGGTGTCCTTTCGGGACTGTGTACCTCCAGCAGTGGGCTCTCTCTCCCCATCAGGGCACCATTGCCTACTGTTGGCATTTTCCTCCTGGCAGCCTCTACCTAGGGGGTACTTTGCTCCAGCCCAGCCTTGAGGGCCAGAGTGGCAATTGGGGTGGATATAGAAACAGGAAGCACATTAAGCTATGCCCTAGAATGACCAGAGATATGTCAGGAGGGCTGGGGACAGTCCAGGGGTTCCAGGAATTTCTGACCTGGCCCAGGAGGTGGTTCAGAAGGCTGGGTTGTCAATGCCTCTCTGGACCCCAGAATGTTCTTCAGGTCTGAAACTGTAGGGAGGGGGTGGCTCCGAGGGGGGCAGGCCCAGGACAGGCATCTGAATAATCTGCAGGGAGAAGAGGGGACTCAGAGTCTTCTTAGGTCCAGCACAGCCACACCGTCCACACAGTGGCTCTGGCATGTTTACTAAGGAGAGGGTGACCCAATGCTGATTACAGAGCCCTCCCCAGGGTCTGGAGGCCTGGGGTGAGTAAGGCCTGCCCTGCTTCTCTAAAGATCTGTGGACACTAGGTAGGAGTAGAAAGTGGGGATGGGGACAGAAACACCCACCTCACTGTAGGGCGGTGGGGCATCACAGGTCAACGTCCTGGCCAGCTGTGGGAAGGTGCTGGAGGGCAGTGCTGGGGGCTCCTGGTGCTCAGTCAAAGGGCCCGGCTCTGACTTTCTGCAGTTTCCACAGAAGTACTTGGCCAGGCCACAGATGGACAGGAAGAGCAGGACCATCAGGAAAATGATGCTGAAGATCCTGGGGTGAGGAACCACCACAGTCACCCCAGGTTCCTGGGAGATTGCCCCTCTCCCCCCCCCAGCAACAAGTCCAGCCACCCTCTGTGTGAATTTGGATTGGGCCCAGGGAGCTGGCCCTGGGCTCACCTCAAGGGATTGGAGAAGATCTCATACTCTTGGCAACAGCTGTTACCACAGCATTTGAATCCTTCAGGGCAGGTGCTGAAAGATGGGATAGGCAGAGAGGGGCTGTAGGGCCAGTGTGAAGTGTCAGAAAGAACCCAGCCTCCCCAAAATGTACCCATACATTCAGAGCATGAGCTACACCCCTAGTGTGTGGGGGGCAGTACTCTGAACACAGTGGAAAGAACCTGGGACCAAGACTCAGGTTCATGTAATTGCTGGCCTTGGGCACTTGGACAAGTTACTGCTCTTTACTGAGCCTCACTCTCCTCATCTATAAAATGGGTATAATCAGTGTCCTGCTGACCTCACTGGACAGACAGCACTGTCTGTTATCAGGGGTATGACGTCATTGACTTGACTGTTAGGAGCTACAGGCCTAGCAGGTCTCATGAAGGAAGAGGTGGGTAGGGAGCACCCAGTGCGGACTGAAAGGAAACCCTTTTCTGCCCAGAGAGGGTGAGGATCTCCTAAGTCACACAGCACACTGGGGTGACTGCAGAGCTGGGAACAAACCAAGGGGCTCAGGCACTGATGGCGTTTAGCTTCTTGGTATTTCTATTTAAGGGATCAAGACATACTGTTTGTTTTCCCCCCACCACTCCCAGGGCCCTCAGAGAGGAGATGGACTAAGGCTTCAGGGCCACAGGCTGGGATCTGGCTTCAGTCTTGCTCCCCGTGTGCCGCTCCCCTGGGGTGGCTGGTAGAAGTGGGTAGAATCTCTCTCACTGGGGGATGGGGATGGGGGCATGGCTCTGGCTGGAATGGGAGTGGGTGAGGAGGAGGCATCTCCCAACTGTCACCAAGGTAAGGAGGGTGTGATTTCAATTTCCTCCCCTTCTGCTCCCCACATGGAAAGTTAGAGCCCAAATCCCAGACACTTACAAGAAGAGACCGCATTTGGCTCCAGCCTGTGGAAGAAAAGAGGCAGAAGTCAGGAACCAGGGGGTTCGATTCTCCTCCCAGATGTTGCAATAGGTCCCTCATGGGAAGCAGGTCCCCAATGGGACCCACTCCCTCGCTCAGGATGTCACGTTCCCCAGGCTAATGACTGGAGTCCTAGGCTTTGCACAGTTGGGTCCAGATCTTCCTTTCCTCACCCCCCCTCCATCTACCATAGTCTCTCATCCCCACCTTCCCAATTCATCTTCTCCTTTCCAAACCCATGGCATATCTGTGGCCTGGGACTCCAGCAGTTCTCCTCACACCACTCCAAGTCACTCCAGACACGGAGCAAAAGGCCAAATACAAATCTGATGACCTTAAGCCTTGCTGAAAACCCCTTGCAGTGGCTCCCAACCCCCTGACCTTCTTCCCAGTGCTGTCGAGTCATTTTGGACTCAAAGTGACCCGATAGGACCACTGGGTACACCACTGGGTCTCCAAGACTGTTAGTCTTTATGGAAGCAGACTGCCACATCTGTCTCCCAATCAGGGGCTAGTGAGTTCGAACCATGGCCACTTCAGTTAGCAGCTGAGTGCGTCACCATTGTTCCACTAGGGTTCCTTGCACTTAGCTTTAGCCCTACATTAAGAATTTAAATCATTCTTTGTGAACTCAGGCCTTTAGAGCTCAGCCCATACAGCAGGCCCTTTCCCTCCCCTATTTTGCACTATTTGGTTTCATTTGATAATCCCCTTGGGGACTCATGCTACTGCTAGCCAATCACAGACAGGCACAACTAAGTGCTTAACCCCACCCCAAGACCCCAATGAAGTTCTCTTTCTCTTCCCGCTATGGTTTATGCCCCCAAGTGGCCCTGTGATCAGACTGTGCCCCGACCTGGAACAGTGAGTAGAATAAATCTGGTCCCTCACCATGGCCTCCCTGACTCCTCTCTCTCATGCCTCGCACCTCACTTAACACCCCACAAATCTGTGAAATCAGTCCCCTTTCCTTCTCTTACCACATTTCCACAGCCCTCTTGTTAATTTCATTGTGATGAAAAGACACATAACAAAACATGCAGTCTCAACAATTTCTACATGTACAGTGACATTGATAAGTGCTTTAAGGGGTACAGCCATGCTCACAATCCTTGTGTACATCATTGCACCATTAATATAACCATGGGGTCACCATGCGTCCAAACTGGCTTCAAGGTACCTAACAATAAGAAGCATGAAATGCTCCTTACCTCTTTCCCACCATCCCTGGTAACCACTAACAATGGTTGGCATCTGTATATTTGCTTGGAGTCTTGGTGTGGCTCTGTGGGATAATGCATTGGACTGCAAGGTGGTTTGAACCACAAGGTTAGTGGTTCAAGCTCACCTTGAACTATACAGGGTCACTATGAGTCAGAACTGACTTGACGACAATTCATACCAACAACATATCTTTGCTTACTTCATATAAGTGAAATCATACAGCATACACCTTTCTGGGGCTGAGTTAGGTCAGCCAGCATGATGCTTCCATGGTTCATCATGTGTGGCAGGCTTCAGAACTCCATTTTTCTATGGCTGAGTAGTACTCCATTGTTTGGATATACCACATTTTACTTATATTTCCATCTGCTGATGGACATTTCTGTTGTTTCCCCTGCTTGCCCTCTTACACACAGATCTACTGAGACTTCCTTGAACGCACCTGGCTGTTTCACACCTGTGTGGGTGGACAAGTCTTCTTCCCAGGCCTTCAGATCTGCTGAACCTCCATTCATCTTTCAGATCTCTGCCTGGGGGTTGCTTGCGCTGCAATGCGGCCAAACCCTCCTCTCCTGAACCAGCTCTTCCTCCTCTCCCCTTCCCTTCATTCCCTTCTGTACTATCTGTGCAGGCCATCCAGAGCATCACTGCAGAATGTAATCCAATTATATTTGTAGAAGAGTCTCTGCTTGGAACATTCTTCCCCCAGGCATGTCCACGGCTCGTTCCTGTGTCTCCTCCTTGGACCACCCTATTTAAAACAACACTCTTTTTCCTTCCTGTGCTTCAGGTTTCTCCATAGCTCTGATCATTGTCTATCATATTATAGTCTTTACTCTGTTATGAATTGTCTGCCTCCCCACTAGAATATAAACTTCACCAGGGATTTTTGTCTGTTGTATCACTATTGAATATTCAACATTCAATTAATAAACATTTGCATAATGAATGAAAGGGCATTCAGTGATCACTAAAAAGAGTACCATTCAAGTTAAGATTACTATTAAAGAGTACCAACGATAGGCAATAATTGGTGGTGTGAACTCCTATTCAATATTTTATTAGAAATCCTAGCCAGAGTAATAAGGCAAGAAAGGCAAATAAAAGGCACCCAAATTGGTAAAGAAGAAGTAGAACTCTCTCTATTTGTAGAAGATATGACCTGATACATAGAAAATTCCAGAGACTAAACAAAGAAAGCTGTTGAAACTAATAGAAGGATCTGTCAAAGTGGTAGGGTCAACATACAAAAATCAGTTGGATTCCTTTACATTAACAAAAAGAATTCAGGAAAACAATATCAAAAGATAAAATACTTAGAAATGAACACAAAAGAACTAGAAACACAAGAGACTTAACATTTTCCCAAAGCGATGTACAGATCAAAATGACATCCCAATCCAGATTCCATCATCATTCTTTAAAGAAATGAAGAACGAATCATCAACTCCATATGGAAAGTAAAGAGACTTATGGACTGCTGATCTTTGACAAAGGTCCCAAATTCATCAAAGGGGGAAGAGATAATCTCCTTAACAAATGGTACTGGCAAAACTGGATATTCATTTGCAGAAAAGTAAAATATGATCCATTACTTCACACCAAATATAAAAACAAACTCAAATTTTGATCAACTTGACCTATACTTATGAATGTTGTTGTTGTTAAGTGCCATTGAGTCGATTCTGACCCATAGCGACCCTGTATAGGGTATCCCAGGAGCAGCTGGTGAACTTGAACCACCAACCTTGCAGTTCAAACAGCTTTGCAGTCTGGCGCATTAACCCACACTGCCACACCAGGACTCCATACTTATGAATGTAGTAGCTCAAAATACCAACCGAGAAGGAAGGAGTCTTTATCCTATCCCTTCTATATGCAGGGCTGATGGTAACAGGCAATTTAGACATTGGCTACGAAAAATGGGGGCGGGGGGGCGGGGGGAGAAGGAGGCGAAGGGGACAATAAAGGCACGAAGTGACTGGCTTACAAGTTTTCAAGCGGGAGTTGAATTTCAGAGTGTGCGGGGGAAGGTTGAACCCTACTGAATAGTTTTCATCTTGTCTAGATGGGTCTGGTGAAAGGAGATGGGGATAAGATTCTTATGATTCAGTAGTGAGTAATTGTGATCATGACTAATTGTGATTGTCACAACTGTAAAGCTAGAAGTTTTGTAACAAAGGGGGGAGTAGTTAATCTTACATTCCAGAAACAGAGGACCCTGAGACCATCAAGGGAAAAGAGCATGAGCAGAATGTGGGACCCTATCTAGAGAAGCAGTGACATCAGAGAGGGAGGCAGAGATGAGGACATGGAGAGATAGAGCAGCTGAGGACTCTAGACTCATGGAAAGAGAAAGGCTGTGTGCTGGTAGCCAGGAGGCAGACTTGCAGAATATGCTTTTGGGTTGTTTAAATGATTATATATTCCTGAGTGTTTTTGTGTACATCCCAAACAGAAAAACAAAAAAACCCCAGAGGAAATAGAAGCAAATACTGTTGAATGATGTATGCACAGAGGGGATTGTAATCATTGCAGTGAAATGAAATACGATAAGATGAGTGTAAAACCGATGTTCTTCCATGTAAACTATCACTTAATTCACAATAAAACTTAAAAAGAAAACAAACAAACAAACTCAAGATAGATCAGAAATCTAAAACTATAAAGATCAGCAAAAAGAAAAAATAGGGTTAAACTTAAGGACTCTAATGCATGGCATAACTAAAAAGGCACAAACATAAACCAGCTGTTACTGTTGTTAAGTGCTGTGGAGGCAATTCCCATTCATAACAACCCTGTATAGGTTTTCCAAGAGCAACTGGTGGGTTTGAGCTGCCAAACTTGAGGTTAGTCATCCAGGTTTATCGTATAGCATTACACAGGTC